GATATTGATAAAAATTGATGAATATACATGAGATTGAAGAAAAAACTTGATATTGATGAAAATTGATGAATAGAATATAAGACCAAATTCCTAAAGACATGATATTGCTAGCTAGAACTATACGTACATGTCTATCGCTGGAAATACTATTACTATTTTTTTATACGTATGGTACTATTCATACATATGGTACTATCCATACGTACGGTACTATTCATACGTACAATACTATTCATAAATATCGTTACTATTCATGTGTACGGTACTATTCATAAATACCGTACTGTTTATACGTATGGCACTATTCATGAGTACTATTACTATTCATGCATACTGTGGTACTATTCATACGTATTATTATTTATACATACGACACTATTCATAAGTACTGACACTATTCATATGTATGGGTACTATTTATACATACTGTTACTATTCATGCATATGGTACTATTCATACGTACTGTTACTATTCATGAGTACGGATGCTAGTCGTAAAGTACTGTTGCTATTAGTAAGTACTGATACTATTCACAATTAGTTAATACAACAGATAGTCGGGGTTGGTAATCCTGATCATTTACTGGACAGTTTGGCCTAGTTTTATTTTCTGGAGTTTATTTGCGCTGTTTGTGACGCGATCACGGAGTTTGAGCCGCTTGATGTTATACTTACAGTCATGAATATGACGAAATACGCATTTGAGTATCCCACGAGGATTATGACGAATTGAGATCTATTTACTTGTGAGTTAGTACACCGCAAATGAGACTGCGATGATACCTATTTGTCGATCCGCACTATGATGCGATGATACCTATTTGTCGATCCGCGTGATGATGCGATGAGTTGGAAGAAGTTCAGAATGATAATATTATAAACTATTTACATGAGTATTTGGCGGATGCCAAAAGTGTTTCTACTCATTGTTGAGATACTTTGCTATACGAGTACACGAGATACATATGCTGCTGTCTATTATGATGCTTTACTTTCCAGTTTTATTTTGATTGCTTAGTTCAGGGTTAATATTTTGTTATTTACCATCTGAGACATACGGTATATACATGAGGATTTCCTTTTTTGGATTATTTCGCTCGACGTACTACGTCTCAAGTTGTAAGTTTCTAAATATTAATTCCATTAGATATAGGGAAAATGATCTAGGTAGAATATGCTTAATAGATAGAGCCTCCACTTCATCATCTAGCAGCCCTTCCCCTGGGGACGGATGGAGGTGAACTTGCTGTAGCGCTCTGACGCTCTTGTTGTTGTTCTTTTTTTTTTATTTTATTTCTCATTTCAGGTGGCTCAGAGCATCGGAGAGTCGCAGAGTGATGGAGTTCTTGTATAGTCGTTGTCGCGTATTTTTACTAGTATGGACTCCACAGTGATCTTATGTTTCCATTTAGTCATTTGAGTTTGTACTCATATTGTTAAGGCAATATGCCTTAGTACGATTTCTAATCGATTCATGTTGAGACATATCATGTTATTTTAGACTCCAGATGTATATCAGTTGTATTCCAGTTTAGTTTATTTGGGACATGATTTCATTTATGAGATATATCTTTCCGTATCATGTCTATAGTATTTATTTCCCTTATTTGCCTGTTTTGTACCTTCATTTATATTGGTTTCCACTAGAGGATATTACTGTGATTGGTGAAACATGTTGTTGCACAGTGGAGGTGCATGACAGGTTTGACATCTCTGGGTTCACCTTGGACTGCAGCCAAGTGTGAAAACAGGGGCGTCACAATGCTACAATTCAGAAAATTACTTATACGCGTGGACAAGGGGTAGGCTATGAACATAGTAGGAGATCTTATCCTATAGCCATTTTAGGATTTTAAACCCTCGACTGAATACAATTCAACAAGTAACCTTGTACTCTTACAATAGTACAACTAAAAGCATTATGAATTAATCCTTGTATTAGTAGTTGTTAAAAACACAACCAGCTGTTGTGAGAAACCATAATGCAAGTTTAATTGGTTCAGTCATAGTGCCTGAAGCACATATCATAATTCAAACTAATATTCATAAGCTTGGACGAGGGGAGGTAGTGGATATTGAAGCGGATCTTATCGAAGTGGTCAAGGTAAACTATTTAGTTTTTCTATATTTGGATTATATGCATTTGTTAGACAATTTTGATTTAACTTGAGTTTGCTTTAAACTCTTGTGAACCTATGTGGTTTTTATTTATACACTTTAGAATTTGTATAACCTAAAATACATCATGTTGCAATAATTTTTAAGATTTAGGGAGCCAAATTCTTTTAAATTCTAGCATGAGCTATTGGGTCATCTTGGGCAAAATATGATTTGTCGGATTTCCTTAAATTAAATGGGGCATTCAAACCAAATCCGACCAACTGCATATCACAATTTTCCCCCTTTATCTAATACGTGGTAAAGAAGCAAAACATTTCTCATCTGCGTATTCTTTATTTGCAGTCTATGTTTCTATATCATCACCATAGCGTACCTCTATGTGACCTCAGTGAAGGTATATACATTATTTATGATACTTCGTCAATAATTTAGTACCTATGGCCCATGTTAGGGGATCAATTTATAATTTGGTACGCTGACTGCATTTTCATTGAAGATCAATTCTCGACATTAGGGGGAGATTAGTGCCCAAAAATACAAAATAATGTCAAGAAATTCCTTTGATGAAAAAGATCTTCAATATTTATATCCACGTACTAGTCAAACTGAACCAGAAGTTCACATGATAATCTGCCAAGAAAAGAGTGACTAAGCCCCATATTCATGTTGAATATATCATTGATGATTTGGTATGCCAGAAGCATACTGTGCCAGAAGCATATAAAACATGTTAGTGTAAAAGATAAAAGCCCGCGGCAAACTAAATTATATATAGAAAGACAGTCACTCCCATAACCTCCAGAAGAGGTTCATCCTGAAGATGGAATCTCCAGTAAATTGCACGTGCACTTGATAATCATAATATTGGAGATGCGGAACGGCCAAATCTAATTGTTAAGGGAAATGACAAGGATTTGGTTAACATAAAATAAGAATTAAAGTGGCCACGAATTTGTGAAAAAGGAGAAATATATAATATAAATATA